ACCAACAAAACCTTTTTGGAACTGTATCTAAGAGGACAGGAAAGACGGGTGTATTTTCATTCTGAGAGCCTTTGCAGATATCAAAGTTCTCTCTACCTGAGGAAAGCGGGGTGTCTGGACAGGGTTGTGGGGATGAGCTTGCAAACATGTCTGAAGCCCTGTCTCCAGGGAATCCAGTGAGTGACCTGTAGTGCCTGCCAAGCCCCACAATGAATGGCCTGAGTGCATGGAAGGTGCGTTCCAATGGCTTGGGCTCCGAGGAGAAAATACACTGCCTGAAGGGCAAAGGGGGAAGAAGGACCAGGCTCATTGAAGTGGGGGGCCTGGAGCACTGATGTTCAGAGGGTTTCATGTGAGCTCTGTGCTCCCCAGGCCCCCCTAGAGTTTCAGAGCTGCTGGGTCCCTTCTTCGCATGCAGGTCTCCCTCAGGCTCCTGTGCCCCATGTCTGGTCCTAGGTCCTGTCCCACAGGACTAGGTGCTGTGAAGGTGAGAGTGAACCACAGCAGTTCACTGCGGACACCTGCTGTTTCCATACTCACCAAAAGCACCAGTTCTGCTGAGAAATCTTGACTGGCTTAATTTTCCACTAGACTCTGCCCCCTCGGGCTCTGGCTGTGTGTGCTGGGAGGGGTGGCAGTGGGAGGAGGGCTGGGAGGGAAGGGGCGGGAGTGGGAAGGAATGAGGCTGAGGCCTGAGTCCCTCCTGGTGGAGGGTGGAGGGTGGAGGGTGGAGGGTGTAGGGTGCAGAGTGCAGGGTGCAGGGTGCAGGGTGCAGGGCACTGAAGGGACCGGGGAGGACAAGCAGTGTTCAGGAGAGCCTGAGGGAGCCCGGCTGGAAATGGGGTTGGTGTGGGGTGTGCAGCTGGGGAGGAGAGAGTGTCTGCAACAGGACGACCAAGCAGGGGAGCAGGAGGAGGAGGAAGAGGAAGCTGTTCTTGCAGGCATGGCTGGGGTCTGCTGGGGCAGGGTGGCTTTTGGCAGAAGGAAGACCACACTTGCAGACCCAGAGGAGTGCTCTTGGTGCTGGGACCTTTAGTTTGACATTGGGCACTCGGTGTTGGGTGTGCACTCCCATGGAGGAGAGGGGGGCTGAAGACACTGGAGAGGGTACAAAGGCTGGGGGCAGAGTGGGCGAGGTCAGGGGCGGGCTTGGGGGGTGGAGGTCGGGCGGTGTGGGTGCTGGGGAGGGCAGGGGCCCCTGGGCTAGAGTCCCCGAATCAAGGCTTCCCTTGAGTGAGGGCCCCGGTACAAGCGTCAGTCCAGTCTGGAGATACTTCCCCCCAAGGCCTGCCTGAGTCCCGCCAGCAGCTGAGTTCAGCTTCTGAGGGAAGTGGCCCAGAAGCACAAAATGTCACCTCCCCAACTCCCCAGGTCCTCTGATGCACAGGCTGCCACTGGCAGGGAGCAGGCAGGAGGGCGGCACGGGGTGGGGGCTGAGGGGCAGCCTGCTTGCGGGGGGGGGGGGGGGGGTGGGGGGGTGGGGGGGGGGGGTGTGAGGGGGCGGGGCGATGGGGCACCAGGTGGGAAAGCACAGAGGCAGGGTGTCCTTGGATGCTGCTGAGCCAGGGGAGTGAGGGAAGTGGTGAGGGCTGGGGGCCCAGGACTCAGATGCCTGCAGTGAGCTGGGCAGGGTCCTGTGCAGGTTTCACAGCCGTTTTGCTCTTTCCTTGCGTCTTGCACCCAGGACCTCAGCAGTGACACCTGCTCTTCACCTGTGCTCCAGCCACTCCCCTGATGGCACTGTCTTCCCACAGGGGCTGGTGGCCCACTCAACCGGCTGGGGCTCGTCCTGTCCGTTGTGCACTTGGAGAACCTGCGCAGATCAGCCCCCACTGGTGTGGCTGGGAGGCCGGGGGCTGGGGGCTGGGGAGGGCCGTGCGCCCGGTCCCCCAAACAGGAGGGTCCCAGATTCGGTGCCCACTTGGGGCACATGCCTGTCTAGTGAGCCACGTCCCTGCTTCTCTTCCTCCTTCTCCCTGCTTTCTGCTCTCGAGGAAAGTAAATGGGTAACGAAAGCCAAACGGCAAAAGACAAGGAGCCCGCTCAGATCAGTCCAGGTTGCAGGCCTTTCCTCTGCCAGGAGCCTGTAGCCCCTGCTTCTTCCCAAGCACCTGAGCAGGTGGTCCTGTTCCTGGAAAAAGGGGGCGGGTCCAGCCTTCCTGGATGCCAGGGGCCAAAAAGATGCCTTCACAAGGCTTTGGGAGCTTTTCCCATGCCGTGGGCCTTCCTTCACTGTGTCCTCTAGGCTCAGCATTCCGCTCTGGTCCCCTTGCAGGTGGCTCCCGCAAGTCCCAGAGTGTCCCCTGAAACCACCTGCAGTGTGGACTCAGTCCCCCCACCCTCAGTTGGTCGGGAAAGCCACCCAGGGCTCTGGCCTTGCCCACTTCAGCCTTCGGACCTGCCCTGCCCCTCTCCACCCAGACCCCTTCCCTCACCCCAAGCCCGCCTCCAGTGCATGGGCAGGGGGCTGTTCACCCCTAGAGACGTCCCCTCCCCTCCCCTCCCCTCCCCCCCCCCCCCCCCCAGGTCCAGCTGCTCAGGCTGCCCTCTAGGGCCCAAAGCAGAAAGCCAGGGCAAGGTGTGGCACGGACCGCAGAACAGAAACAGGACACAGACTGCACTGTGTTGAAAGATATTTTATTCATGTTTCTCGTTCTTTTTGCTCTCAACATCAACCTCATCAGACGGTATGTAAGCAAAGTGGCGAATTTTCCAGTAACAGTTTTCCAGTAAGGGATCATTTCAATGCCACTGTATTCACCTGAAGACGGAGAGAGGAAGGCACGTGTGATGCATCCATCACATGACCTTTCATTGCCTTAAACCATAGATACATACGCTTGGCTCACATGGGTGCTTCTTTTTAAAGAAACGTGTGATATTTTTTACAGCTTTAAGGATGGACCCTTTCTCCAAAGCAGCTGCAATCATCGTTGCCACAAACGTGAGAACATGTCCTATCATATTGTCGCATATCTGTTTTATACACATCATCATCAAGGCATGGTCTAGATAAACTACGAATTCGTTTGGCAAAATTATTATTAACATATCTCCGAGAAAATTTGGCAGTAAGTTCATTGCAGTGGAAACTGCAGTAGTTCCTGACAATGAAATAACCATCTCCTTGAAAATTATCATGAACATTTGTCTGCCTCCAACTGGGTCTTAATTTAGAGAGGTGATTGCAAAGCAGCACAGAAAGGCCAATGCCTGGTGAAAAGGACACAGAAATAAAGCAGGAGAAAAATGTTTCTTGTACTCACAGACGCCCTGGGAGGGAGAGGCACCCCACAGCGTGTGGGGTCCCAGGAGGACCGGCAGATTTTGGTGGCTGAGGGAGGCGAGATGTTGCGCCATTTCCTGGAGAGGGAGGGCTGAGCCAGACTTCTGCCCACCGCACGTGGTATCCCCCTGGAGGGGCAGGAAGGCCCCAGGGTGCAGAGAGCGAAAACCCTCCTCATTGTTCCTGTAGCCTGGCTAACCCTGGAGGGAGGGTGTGGGGCTGGAGGGCTGACCTGCCCTGGCCTGGGGCCTGACACAGGGACCGTGCTCAGGCGGGAGGAAAGTCCTGGCTTGGTATGTGAGAGTTAGACCAGCAGGGAGGAGGTTTTCAATCAAGCCGGGAGCAGAACAGAAGTGGGTTTATCTGTCCATAAAAGGACTAGACGTGCAGGCGAGGCACTTGGCACACTACAGTTTCCTGAAGGTTTTCTCAAAGGAAGGGGTAGTCGGCTGGCCCAACCCATGTAACCCTTCCCCAGGGTGGCTGGGGGCCTGTTCCTCCTTTGTCACCCTCAGGGCTACTTGATGGGGTGCAAAAACGTGCAGAGCAGTGAGAACAGAGCGGTCCACATACCTCCTAGACCACAAGACAGGGCGTCCATCTGCTTTGTCCGCCAACGAGCCTGGACAGGACAGACATGGGCAGACGGACAGACTGAAGAACCTGCGTGCAACAGGATCAGCTTACAGAGTTCCCTGAGAACATCCGGGGCTCCTACCCTAGAGGCCGAGAGTCTCAGGAGAAACAGAACATCACACAGCGCTGTCTGTCTCTCCCCGCCCTCCCCACCACCTGGGAAACGCACAGCAGTGCCCCCTTCCGTCCCGAAGCCAACCCGACAAAATACGGGGAAATGGCAAGTGTGGGGCTCAGACCTGGCAGACACCACCACAACCGAATGAGAAAGAAAGCAGTACATGTCATGTCTCTCTTGAGGACACACAGAGAACACAGCATCTTTTCTGGAGCGATCCTCCCCAAAATACACATGAAGGACATCCATTCTTGAGGAATTAAGAACAAAGACAAAAGCATCCATCTTCAACAAGATCTCAACTGGAAGCTCGTCGGAAATGTGAGTGTCAGGAAACCAAAACAGAGTCAGATCCAGAGACCTGGCACCTAAAGTCAGGACACCCTCCTAGACCTGGTCCTGGGACAGTGATGGAAGAAGGAGGAGGGAGCCTCTCTCCCCTGTCCTGGGCCAGCACATGCTCTGTCTCTCTCACTCCCTGTGTCTCTCTTTCTCTCCAATCCGAGAGGTGGTTTCCTTCATTGCATTTTCCACTGTAGGTGTTATTTGAACAATGGGCAGAAGTAGAGGAGGCTCTGTGGTTTGAATGGCATGCCTGTTTCGACGCTGATTTCCAGCCACTGAGGGAGTGCTGAAGGCTTGGGGCAGAGTGTTTGAAGACATTTTACTTCATGTTTTCACATTCTTTTTGCTCTCTCCATCAACTGCATCAGACGGTATGTAAGCAGAACTTTGTAGGAGCAGTTTTTTTAAATAACAGATCGTTTGAATAGCGACTATATTAACCTGAAAATGTAGAGAGGAGGCAAGTGGGATTCATCTGTGATACAACTTTCATTGCCTTAAACGAGAGATGCACAGGCTGGTTCACATGGCTGCTTCTTCTTAAAGAAACGTGTGATATGTTTTACAGCCTTAAGGATGGATGCTATCTCCAAAGCAGCCACAATCATACTCCGCAGAAACATAAGAACATGTTTTATCATATTGTCGCATATCTGTTCTACATACATCATTATCAAGGCATCGTCTAGATACACTGAGAATTTCTTCAGCAGAGCAGCTACAATGATTCTCACCAGAAACAAAGGAACGTGTTTTATCATATCAGCGAACATCCGTTTTATACACATCATCATCGAGACATCGTCTGGATATACTACGAATTTCTTCAATAAAGTAGCCGCAATTGTTCTCAGAAGGAACATAAGAACATGTTTTATCATATCAGCGAACATCCATTCTATACACGTCATCGTCAAGGTATCATCTGGATACACTATAAATTTCTTCAACAAAATAGCTGCAATGGTTCTCAGAAGGAACATAAGAACATGTTTTATCATATCAGTGAACATCGGCTTTATACATGTCTTCGTTGAGGTGTTGTCTGGATATACTATGAATTCCTTTGGCAAAGCAGCCACAATCATTCTCACCAGAAACAGAAGAACATGTTTTATCATATCACCGAACATCTGTTTTATACATGTCATCATCGAAGCGTCGTCTAGATACCCTAAGAATTTCTCTGGCAAAATTATTATCAACTTTTCCATGAGAAACGCCACCAGGAATTGCATTAAAACATGCACTGCAATGGTTTTTAGCAATGAAATGACTGTATCTTTGAAAATCATCCTGAACATTTGTTTTCCTCTGACTGGGTCTTAATTTAGAGAGCTGATCAAGTAGGAGCAAAGAGAGGCCAACTCCAGAGAAAAACACACGGAAATGAAAGAGGAAAGAAACGTTTCTGGTCCTGGCAGATGTCCTGGGAAGGAGAGGCACTGCACAGCGTGTGGGGACCCAGGAGGACTGGCAGATTTGGTGACTGTGTGGCCAGACTTACATCAGTTAAGGGCGAAGCCAGAGAAGGCTCCAGGATGGGGAAAGTATAAACAGGCTTGATTCCATGTAGCCTGGCTTGATCCTGTGTAGCCCCACTTGATCCTGTGTAATTTGGCTTGATTCTGTGTAGCCCGGCTAACCCTGGAGAATGGGTGTAGAGCTCGAGGGCTGACGTCCTATGGCCTGAGGCCTGACACCAGGATCAAGTGCTCAGGTAGGAGAGATCCTGGCTTGGTTTGTGGGAGTCAGACCAGCAGGAAGGAACGTTTCAATCAACCTGGAAGAAGAACAGAAGCGGGTTTATCCGTCCATGAAAGAAATAGATGTGCAGGCCAGGCATTTGGCACACTATAGTTTCCTGAAGGTTTTCTCAAAGGAAGGGGGAGTTGGCTGGCCCAGCCCCATGTACCCTTGCCCAGTGCGGCTTGGGGCCTGTTCCTCCTTTGTCACCCTCAGGGCTACTTGACATGGTGCAAAAACGTGCAGACCAGTGAGAACAGAGCGATCCACATACCTCCTAGACCACAAGATGGGGCGTCCATCTGCTTTGTCCGCCAACCAGCCTGGACAGGACAGACATGGGCAGACTGAAGATCATGCAGGGCCCTGTGGGGGAGATTCCAAGTAATAAGGATGAGAGAAAGGATGAGTCTGGGGCCTCTCCCTTTGACAACCACCACGGGACTCCTGAGAATATCCCTGGCTCCTACCCTAGAGGCTGAGAGTCTCACCAGAAACAGAATATCACACAGCACTGTCTGTCTCTCTCCCCCCTCCCCACCACCTGGGAAACGCACAGCGGTGCCTCCTTCCATCCCAAAGCCATCCCGACAAAATACCAGGGGATGGTAAGTGTGGGGCTCAGACCTGGCAGACACCACCAAACTGAATGAGAAAGAAAGCAGTACATGTCACGTCTCTCTTGAGGACTCAGAGAGAACACGGCATCTTTCTGGGGCCATCCTGCCCAAAATGCACAAAGGACATCCATTCTTGAGGAACTAAGAGCAAAGGCAAAAGCATCCATCTTCAACAAGATCTCAACTGGAAGGTTGTGGGAAACATGAGTGTCAGGAAACCAAAACAGAGTCAGGTCCAGAGACCTGGCACTTAAAGGCGGGGCACCCTCTTGGACTTGGTCCTGGGACAGTGAGGGAAGAGGGAGGTGGGAACCTCTCTCTCCTGTCCTGTGCGAGCACCCGCTCTCTCTCTCTCACTTTCTCTGTCTCTCTTTCTCTCCAATCTGATAGGTGGTGTCCTTCCTTGCGTTCTCCACTGTAGGTGTTATTTGAACAATGGGTAGAAGTGGAGAAAGCTCTGTGGTTTGAATGGCATGCCTGTTTCCATGCTGATTTCCAGTCACTGATGGAGTGCTGAAGGCTTGGGGCAGAGTGTTTGAAGACATTTTACTTCATGTTTTCACATTCTTTTTGCTCCCTCCATCAACTGCATCAGACGGTATGTAAGCAGAACTTTGTAGGAGCAGTTTTTTTTAAATAACAGATCATTTCAATAGCGACTATATTCACCTGAAAATGTAGAGAGGAGGCAAGTGGGATTCATCCCTTATACAACTTTCATTGCCTTAAAGGATAGATGCACAGGTTGGTTCACATGGCTGCTTCTTCTTAAAGAAACGTGTGATATGTTTTACAGCCTTAAGGATGGATGCTATCTCCAAAGCAGCCACAATCATACTCCGCAGAAACATAAGAACATGTTTTATCATACTGTCACACATCTGTTCTACATCATCATCATCATCATCATCATCATCAAGGCCTCGTCTGGATACAGTAAGAATTCCTTCAGCAGAGCAGCCGCAATGATTGTCACCAGAAACAGAAGAACATATTTTATCGTATCAGAGAACATCTGTTTTGTACAGGTCATCCTTGATGCGTTGTTTAGATACACTAAGAATTTCTCCAGCAAAATTATTATCAAATTTTCCATGAGAAATGCCACCAGGAAGTGGGTTAAAACGTACACTGCAATGGTTTTTGGCAATGAAATGACCGTATCCTTGAAAATTATCCTGAAGTTTTGTTTGCCTCTGACTGGGTCTTAATTTAGAGAGGTGATTGAAAAGCAGCACAGAGAGGCCAATGCCGAAGTAAAACACACAGAAATGAAACAGGAAGGAAACGTTTCTGGTACTCACAGATGTCCTGGGAAGGAGAGGCACTGTACAGCGTGTGGGGACCCAGGAGGACCGGCAGAGTTGGTGACTGTGTGGCCAGACTTGCATCATTTAAAGGCGGAGGAGGCGGAGCTGTTTTTGTGTCATTTCCTGGAGCGCCAAGAAGGCCCCAGGGCGGAAGGTCCAAAAGTGGGAAGTCTCCAGGGTGGTGGGAAGGCCCCAGGGTGGAAAGGCCCCAGGACGGGGAAAGCACAAATTGGGCTTGATTCTGTGTAGTCTAGATTGATCCTTTGTAGTCCAGCTTGATCCTGTGTAGCCCAGCTGACCCTGGAAGGTGGGTGTTAAGCTGGAGGACTGACCTCCCCTGGCCTGAGGCCTGACACAGGGACTGTGCTCAGGAAGGAGAAATCCTGGCTTGGTGCTTGAGAGTCAGACCAGCAGGGAGGAGGGTGTCAATCGAGCTGGGAGCAGAACAGAAGTGTGTTTATCTGTCCACAAAAGGACTAGATGTGCAGGCGAGGCACTTGGCACACTACAGTTTCCTGAAGGTTTTCTCAAAGGAAGGGGGAGTCGGCTGGCCCAACCCCATGTACCCTTCCCCAGGGTGGCTGGGGGCCTGCTCCTTCTTTGTCACCCTCAAGGCTACTTGATGGGGTGCAAAAACGTGTAGAGCAGTGAGAACAGAGTGGTCCACATACTTCCTAGACCACAAGACAGGGCGTCCATCTGCTTTGTGTACCAAGGAGCCTGGACAGGACAGATATGGGCAGACAGACTGAAGAGTGTGCGGGGCCCTGTGGGGAGATTCCAAGTGGTAAGGATGAGAGAAAGGATGAAATTAGGGCCTCTCCCTCTGACAGCCACCACAGGACTCCTGAGAGCATCCTGGCCCCTACCCTAGAGGCTTAGAGTATCAGGAGAAACAGATATCACATAGCACTGTGTGTCTCTCGCTGCCCTCCCCACCACCTGGAAAACACACAGCGGTGCCCCTTCCATCCCAACGCCAACCCGACAAAATACGAAGAAATGGCAAGTGTGGGGCTCAGACCTGGCAGAAACCACCACAACTGAACAAGAAAAAAGCAGTACATGTCACGTCTCTCTTGAGGACACACGGAGAACACAGCATCATTTCTGGGGAGGATCCTGCCCAAAATGCACAAAGGATATCCATTCTTGAGGAACTAAGAGCAAAGGCAAAAGCATCCATCTTCAATAAGATCTCAGCTGGAAGCTCGTGGGAAACGTGAGTGTCAGAAAACCAAAATAAAGTCAGATCCAGAGACCTGGCACCTAAAGGCAGGGCTTCCTCCTGGACTTGGTCCTGGGACAGTGAGGGAAGAGGGAGGAGAAAACCTCTCTCTCCTGTCCTGTGCGAGCACCGGCTCTCTCTCTCTCTCTCTCTCTCTCTCTCTCTCTCTCTCTCTCTCTCTCTCTCTCCCCCTGTGTCTCTCTTCCTCTCCAGTCTGAGAGGCGGTGTCCTTCCTTGCGTTCTCCACTGTAGGTGTTATTTGAACAATGGGCAGAAGTGGAGGAGGCTCTGTGGATTGGACGGCATGCCTGTTTCCACGCTGATTTCCAGCCACTGATCGAGTGCTGAAGGCTTGGGACAGAGTGTCGTGATTGTTACAGAAGGCACATCAGAGAATTTCAACCACAGGGGCCTCATGAGTGCACTCAAAATGCTACTTCATTATTAGTGCAATATTTTTCCTCAGGAGAATTTAAAATAACCCTATTGTTGCACCCAATATACCCTAGAAGTAGAATCTCTTCCAAAACCTTTCTCCAGAAGGACATGAAAACCTTTTCCTGCATTCCATAGCACGCGGAACACATCGGTTTCTTGCTAGCAACTTTTTTCAACCCCGTGGGACAAATACCCTAGAAAGGATTGAGATTCAGAAATCTTTAAAGGTTTTGAATGCAGGCAAAAATACCAACAAAACCTTTTTGGAACTGTATCTAAGAGGACAGGAAAGATGTGTGTATTTTAATTCTGAGAGTATTTGCAGATATCAAGGTTCTCTCTACCTGAGGAAAGCGGGATGTCTGGACAGGGTTGCAGGGATGAGCTTGCAAAGATGTCTGAAGCCACTGTCTCCAGGGAATCCAGTGAGTGCCCTGTAGTGCCTGCCAAGCCCCACAATGGCCTGAGTGCATGGAAGGTGCGTTCCAATGGCTTGGGCTCTGAGGAGAAAATACACTGCCTGAAGGGCAAAGGGGGAAGAATGACCAGGCTCATTGAAGTGGGGGGCCTGGAGCACTGATGTTCAGAGGGTTTCATGTGAGCTCTGTGCTTTCCAGGCCCTCCCAGAGTTTCAGAGCTGCTGGGTCCCTTCTGTGCATGCAGGTCTCCCTCAGGCTCCTGTGCCCCATGTCTGGCCCTAGGTCCTGTCCCACAGTAGTAGATCCTGTGAAGGTGAGAGGGAACCTCAGCAGTTCACTGGGGACACCTGCTTTTTCTATACTCTCCAAAATAGCCAGTTCTGCTAAGAAATTTTCATTGGCTTAATTTTCCACAAGACTTTGCCCCCTTGGGCTCTGGCTGTGTGTCTTGGGAAGGGTGGCAGTGGGAGAAGGTATGGAAGGGAAGGGGCGGGTGTTTGAAGGAATGAGGCTGAGGCCCGAGTCCCTCCCAGGGGAGGGTGGAGGGTGCAGGGCACTGAGAGGACAAGGGAGGACAAGCAGTGTTCAGGAGAGCCTGAGGGAGCCCAGCTGGAAATGGGATTGGGGTGGGGGGTCCAGCTGTGGAGGAGAATGTCTGCAGCAGAAGGACCAGGCAGGGGAGGAAGAGGAGGTGGAAGCTGTTCTTCCAGGCCTGGCTGGGGTCTGTAGGGGCAGGGCAGAAGGAAGACAACACTTGCAGACCCAGAGGAGTGCCCTTGATGCTGGGACCTTTAGTTTGATGTTGGTCACTCGCTGGTGGGTGTGCACTCCCATGGGGGGTAGGGGGGCTGAAGAGAAATAAGAGGGTGAAAAGGAAAACAGAGGGAAGGGCCGGGCTATGTGAAGGAGGAGGAAAAAGTTGTGTTTCTGCTCAGAGGGTGTCAGTGAAAGGAGGCGGGGGCCTTTACGACCAGAGGCTTGGTGGCCTGCAGTTGAACACAGGATGTCCTCAGGGGCAGAGTCCCTGGGGTCTGAGAGAGGGGTGGGAGGGAGACTCAGGGTGAGAGGGAGACTGGCTGTCACTGGGGGACCTGGAGTCTAGATTCTGGAAGGAACTGGAGGGAGTGGGAACTGCTAGGGGAGGTGAAAGCTGGAGGGAGGGACTGGAAGAGGCTGCAAAGAGGCAGGAAGTCGGGAAGAGGGTTGCAAAACTGCAGGGTGGGGGAGGGTGGGAAAGGCTGAGAGGCTCCCAGCCTGGGGAGGGTGCCCCTGTGAGCTTAGGTTCCTGAATCAGGGAGTCCAAGGTGAGGGCCCTGTTTTCAGTGTCAGGACTGGGCGAGTCTGGGGATACTTTCCTCCAAGGCCGGTTTGAGGGCCACCTTTTTAGCTTCAGTGGGGAGGGCCCAAGGAAACTCATAATGTGACCTCCTCAGCACCCCAGGTGGTCTGATGAGGAGGAGGCCACTGGCAGTAAGTGGGCAGGAGGGAGGCACAGAGTAGAAGCTGGGGGGAGCCTGCTTGTCTGTCGGCCTTGGGGTGCCTGATGGAGGGGACGGAGGCAGGGGGTCCTTGCAATCTGCTGAGCCAAAGGGAGTGAGGAAAATGGTGAGAGAGTGTTAGGAACCTGACACTTAGATGCCTGCAGTCAAGTGGGGCAAGTTGCTCTTTCCACCACCTCACAGCTGTGGGGCCCTTTCATCCCTTCTTTCTTAAAGATCCGGTGTGGTATCCCTAGCTCTTCCACTGTCCTGTAACCACTCCCCTATGGCCTTGATTTCCCACAAGGGCTTCTTGCCCGCTAAATGGTCTGGGACTCATGCACTGTGCCCTCAACAACCTGCGCAGATCAGTCCCCGCTTGTGTCATTCAGGGGGCTGGGCCAACTGTTACGTCTGCCCAGGATTCAACATTTCCTCTACCAAAAGGACAGTCCACAAAAATGAAAATAAACAAGCAAGGTTACATGCACCTGCAGAACAATCACACAACAGAACCCTCCTTAATATGTATATAGGTGTGTGTCTGTATGTATACATTTCATGTGTTTGAGTGTATATAGACACCTGGAATGGAGCAGAGATGCCCCCCCCAGAGGAAGCAACCTGTGCAAATATGGTTGAAGACAACAAAGTATGGATGAACCATAGAACGTGCGTGCCTTCCTCCAGACCACTTAAAGGACGTATCATCACACTTTGATGAGTTCCATAGTTGGAAAATGATTTCTGCAGTGTCCTGCTTACACAGCACCCAAGTATATAGATGGGGGAAGAGATAAGGGCAAAACAGAGTAAATCAATTTCTTTAACCCCATCCCTTGTAGGTGTGTGGTCTGCATGTGTGGAATGGTCTGTGTGACGTCCTGTCCAGTGTCTGGGCTCTGGGCCCTAGAGGGTAGCTGGTCTAGCTGGAGAGAGCCCACTGGATATGAAGGGGGTGGGGAGGAACGTTCTGTGGGGAAAACCACTGCCAGCTCAGGCATTTGGGGCTCATAGGGACTGGGGAAGAAGTGGGACTGGACGCAGGGCTGGGCTCCTTTCTATGAGTTGAAAGGGACCAGGCAGCTTCTGTTTGCCACTGGTCTCCCTTCACAAGGGCTGAAGCATTAATGACAGGATTGGCAGGCGTCTGCTTGGGCACAAAGTGTGCGCACTCTGAACTGCAAATTTCTGCTTTTGCTGGTGCCATTCAGGGCCAGGCAGACCTGGGGTGTGCAGAAAAGGAAGTGTCTCCTCGTTATTTAACAAAAGGCTATCACAGTAAGGTGCATTGCTAGTGTTGAGTGCCGGGTATACACAGTAGTTTGCAAGTCTAGACTTGCCTAATAGGAGAAGGTCATTGCCCTTAGCAAAAAGAGTGCACACAAGTCTACAAAATTACCAAGCTCAACAGGCCTCAGTCAGAAAGCACTGATTTGTGTTACTATCAAAGCTGGACCTCTAGGCCTGT